TGGAGACCGCGCACTTGGAACCGCAGACCACGTGGCAAGTGGGCGCACCCCTCAGAGCAGGGGAGTCCTGGCCTTGCAGTAACACTCTGACCCCGGTCCAGGGCCCAGGGCGCCAGCTTCCCGCGCCCCGCACGGCCGGGCCGGGCCTGGCCAGAGGCCCAAGGGAGGCCCGCCCCCACGGTCCGCGCGCTCAGGCCCGGCCCGGACGCGGGGGAGCCCACCAGCCCTCCCGCTCGGCTCAGTGAGTCCCGTCTCACCTCAGCTGCCGGTCGTACTTCTGCTCCTTGAGCAGCTTCCCCGGCTGCGCCATGGCCGCGCCCGCCGCGCCACCAGCCCAGCCGCTGCCAAGCGCCGCCGCCGGCTCAACACGCGCGCAGGCGCACCGAGCGCCCTCCGCCACCACCGCCTCCTGCGCGTCGCCCGCAGGGGGCGCCGCCGTTGCACTGCGCACGCGTCACCGGAACGCCCGTGCGACCGCAGCCACTGCAGGGAACCGGGCTGAACCTGGTGGTCGGTTTTGCCTGGATGCCCCAGTGCCGCTAATACGCCAGCCCAACCCTCTGTCGGTGCAGTAATTGTGGGGAACTCGGGCTTTGGAATCAGGCGGACTTGGATTTTAATCACTTCCTGCTGTGAGCATTGCTCTTTGCGGTCCTTAGTTTGCTCACCTGTGCAATGGGAATGAATGGGTCTTGGAGAGAGGGGTCTTTCAGCCTTAAATGAAAATTTTTTAATACACAGGGCCAGACTCACAAAGAATCTTGTATGAAAAATAATTTTCATTATAATGTACGTCATGGCTTACCCATTTCTTTCAACCTGTCATTCAACAAGCCCACACCTGAGGACAGGTTTTTGAACCACAAACCAGCTGCTCCTGGCTGCAAAGCAACGAAAATAATAAATCCGGGTCCTGTTCTTGGAGAGTGCACAATCCTGTGAGCAGGGAGGGACAGAAAACAAGCGCTCACCAGAATATGTGGTCCTCCCATTGAAGCAAGATGGGGGTGCACAGAAGAGTCCCACCCCACTCTTCCTCTCCAGAAATTCTTCCTGTGGTGTGGTGATGGAAGTGTGTTTTTAAACAGAAAGAACAGCAGGTGTCATCTGTACGAGACAAAGTAGGCAAGGTAGGCTTTAGGTACAAGTGAAATGTAGTCAAGTGAAGGACCACGGAAAGAGAAGCTCTACTTCCTGAAAAACTTCTTTTTCAGGAAGAGTTTGGCTGTGCTGTGGGACCTGAGGAACTGGTAGAGGGAGGGGGCTAGAGGCTCCATGACCAGCAGGGAGGGAGATAAGGATCCTTCCCTCTCTGTATCCCAGACCCTATAGGCAACTTCAGGTTAATAATTGCCTGAAATAAGACGAAAATGAGCACAGATCCCCACTGAGGACAGGGGAAGGACACAGTTTTGACAGTAATCTTTCAAGATGATGAATGTCCTTCCCTGGGGCACACCCTCCCATGACTTCCCTTGTCCCTACCCAACCCTCATGGAGCACAACTGATGAGAGACAGAGACATGAAGCTTTCCCAGATCATCATATGCTTATGTAATCACATTTCCTTCTCCATTTGGACAGGGAAAATATAAGGGATAATAAAATACACTCAGGGAATGAAGGAAGGTCAAAAAGGTGACAGGTGGAAGTCCACCGCTTAGCCTCCTAGGCTCAGTTCGGTCAGGGAAAGCATGAGAAGAAACATTCCCAAATTTGGTGAGTGAGGGAGGAGGGGACAGGGGGAGTCATACTGCCTATGAAGGAATACATGACTTTGAAAAGGGTTGTGTTGGTGGTGTCTGTAAAAAGATACCTCGGGGAATTTGTTTCCTAGGACTGCCATAGCAAAGTACCACAAACTGGGTGGCTTAAAACAAGAGAAATGTATTTTTCATAGTTCTGGGGGCTGGAAATCTGAAATCAAGATGTGGGCAGGACTATGCTCCTGAAACCTATAGAGGAGCAGCCCTTGCCCCTTCCTGGTTCTGGGGGTTTGCCAGCAATCCTTGGCTTGCTGCTGTAGCGCTCTAATCTCTGCATCCCTCGTCACATGGTATTTTTCCCTTGTGTCTTGTTCTATGCCTCTTCTTATAAGAACACCAGTCATATTGGATCAGGCTTCATCTAATGATGTCATCTTAACTTGATTACATCTGTGAAGACCTTAGTTCCAAAAGTTCACATTCACAGGCACTGGGACATTAGGACTTACTTAAATAACTTTTGTGGGATGTACGATTCAATCCACTGGAGCATTTAAAGATTTCTTCACTGGAGCTGTGGAGGCTGATTAGATACAACTACTTCCATCTGGGAATTCAGGGCCTACTTGTGTATTTCTCCTGCTGTGGCGTGCAGCAAACCAGAGGTATCCAGGCCAGGACGCCATGGCCTAATTCATTTAGGTCATTGATTTACAAAGTGTCATCCTGGACCTACAGCATCAACATATCACTTGGAGACTTGTTAGGAATGCAAATTCTTTGCCCTATCCCAAACCTGTTAAATTAGAAACTCTGGGTTAAGGCCCAGGAATATGTAGTTCATTCTCTCTCCCTCTCCCCGCTCCTCCTCCTCTCCCCCTCCCTTTCTCTGTAGTGTATCTATGCACACACACACACACACACATACGCACACAAGCACACACACACACCCCCCCACATAGATAGATATAGATATAGGTACATAGATATATCAAACAGGCCTTTGGCCTTTGACCTGCATCAACTCTTGTGCTCACCCAATGCAATAGATACTGCTGCTAACCCTGCTTTACAGAGACAGCAGAGACATGAAGTAGAGGAGGGCAATATTAAAAATTAAGGGATGAGAAACAAATACTCCAACAGATCTGGCCAGACCCCTACTCAGGTCTGATATTGTATCCATCCTTATGGTCTCATCCAAAGAAACCTGGATCTATGGGATCCCAAAAGTTTGCATAGGCTATGGGAGGCAAGTCAGGAAAAATGAGTCATGACCCAGAACACTTTGAGGGCCTTGACCAATAGCCCTCCCTGCCGGTCCTTGACCATCCTAGCCCTTGTCACTCTTGTACTCATTGACTGATTCTCACCTCTTTCCCCTGTCCCGTAAACTCCCTGAGGCAGCAGTGAGTCTATAGTCTTCAGAGTTGTATTACCTATGCCTGGCCCAACACTTGACATCTAATAAATTTTTATAAATGCTCACTGAATGAAAGAATAAATTTCTGAAATGAATTCCACCATATATCCTACACTTTAAAATGTTACTTGGCACCAGACATGGTGGTGCATGCCTGTAATCCCAGCAACTTGAGAGGCAGAGGCAGGAGGAGCACCAAGTTCAAGGCCAGCCTGGGCAGCTTAGCAAGACCTGTCTCAAAATAATTAAAAATAAATAAATAAATAAGGGCTGAGTATGTAGCTCAATGATAAAATGTCCCTGGGTTCAATCCCTAGTACTGCAAAATAAAATAAAATAAGTTACTTGACAATTTGTATACAATCTAATTTGATAATCCCACTTCTAGCATTTATCCCAAGGATAAGGAAATCATCAGACACAAAGATGTATAAATAAGGATGTTTACTGCAGTGCTATCTACAATAGTGAAAACTGGAAATAATGCATGTACCAGAGCAATGTGAGAAAATTGTGTCAAGTTTTCCAAGTCTAATCAAGCAAGGGGGAAAAAAAAACTGGTCACAAAGCTATATATATAGTACTGATTGTTCTGTACATAGCAGGAAAAACTTGGCAGAATGGTTACTAAAGTGGTAACAGTGATGATTCTTGGTTAGTGACATAACTAGTGATTTAAATTGTATTTTTAAGTTGTTTCCTACATTTTTTCCCCCTACAACAAATAGCCATCATTACTATAGTCAGGAATGTTTGGACTTTTTTTTTTTTTTTGAGACTGGGTCTTGCTGAATTGCCCATGTTAGCCTCTAACTTGTGATTCTCCTGCCTCAGCTTCCTGAGTAGTTGGGATTACAGGCATGTGCCACCATGTCTATTTGTTTAAAGTTGTACATGTGGCCAAGAAGTGAAGGGGAAGGGGAAAGAGTAGAGGTCCTAGGATCAGAGGATTGCATCCTTGGTCCCGGGAGTCTCACAGATTATCACCTCATCTGACCATCCTATGGGTCTATTAGTTTCAGTGCCTCACGTGTGCTAGGCAAGTATTCTACCCCTGAACTACAACCCCAGCCCTATCCCATAGATTTAAAAAAAAAACAAGACCCCCAAAATTCAGAGAAGTGAAGCAGACTTGCCTAGGTCACACAACCAGTGGTGCTAGCTAGGAGTCAATCACAGGTCTCTCTGAATCCACAGTTCAGTCTCCTTGCATCCCTGCATGTACACATACACATATATACTTGGAGTGGAACATGTGCACGCGTGCGTGTGCACATGTGTGCACATATGATAATGGGTATTAAACTCAATATATACAATTTTAAGTACAGGGAATAAGACTTCTAGCCCGACCCACTGGCCCTACTCATAACAGCAAGGAGGAGGCATGATTCTGCCCATTGTTTCTGCATTGGACACCTGTCATTTCAATGGATGTGCAAAGGGATCCCCATGAAGTGAGCAGGCAGGGACAACCCCCTGATCACCTTGTTTTGTAGAGCAAAACCACTGTCCTCTGAAAGGAATTGAAATCTGGCCAAGATTATTTGATAAATGAGCCCATTGCTTTTCAAGCTACTCATCATAGTTTCCTCATTCCCTTTCCTCCCCCATAAATAATGAAAACCAAGAGCCATTGATGTCAGTGAGACCAAAGAGTAAACTCTCAAGCAGATAAATCACTTCAGTCTGAAAGACAGCATGTAATTGAGAGTGGAGGCGTCTGTATGGGGGTATAGTTCCCCCCAAAGTGACCTGAGTGGGCTGCTGGGGCAACTGGAGCTTTGCCTGATAAGGGCAGATGTCACTGGCTCCTTTCACTTGCCTGAGTTCCCAGCACCCAGGGAAAATTGCTAAAGACAGGCTGCAGAAAGGGAAGAACTGAATCAATTTTTAATGGTTGTTGAGGAGGCAATACACCGTATATACTTTAATTCTTTCAAAAAAATATACATTCTGATTGCTTCTAGACCTTTTGGCTAAGATGAAGTGTAGAGAGTACACATTTGGTACCCTCCCCTGCCCTTTCTAGTCTCTGATCGCCTCTCTGGAAGCACAACATTCTCCCTTTTTCTCTAATTCCTTTTTGAGAGAACTTGAATATACATGCAAATGAGAAACACATTTGAAATTCACGTCCTCCCCTGTCTGTGATTTTAGACAATGTTGAGTGAACCGTAGGTTTTTATCCTTGCTCTGTCATTTACTGTGAATCCTAGAGCCCACCATTCAACCTCACTGAACCTTGCTTTTGTCTTCTGTAAAATGGGGCCCAAATGTCCCTAGGGTTGCTGTGTGGATGAAGCTGGATGCAAAACTATATTAAGAATTCAAATTTTATTTTTAAGCACTATTTTTTAAAAAAAATAAGGAAAAGGCCTGGGTTGCTGTGAGGAAGATGTGGGTCAATGGAGTTTGGGCCATTCCTAGATCCCTAGGTGCTGCATCTCCCCTGCAAGAACAGTGGCTGGATCCTCCAGGAGAGAGGCTCCAGGCCTTCCCTGAGGCATGCCTTTGTTTTTTTGATCTGGAGGTAGTGTTTCTGGCTTGAAGACCTGGGGCTTTGGCAATGATCTATTCTCTTTCACTTGCTGGTCGTGAACACCCCCTACATCTCTATCATGAGTCCTCTGACCCTTCTCTAAGGTCAGATTTATATTGAGAGGGCGTTTCTGCTCTTGAGTCAGTGAAGGATGTCTCTGCAGGACTGGAAAGTCACTGGTGTTGGCCAAGCTAACTAGCTGTCAATTTATCTCCACTATTCTATCTGGGGAACTGGGAGAGGGAAACAGACAGACCCAGAGATACAGGGGAGCTAGGTAGAAGGAATGAGTTTCCTTCCCAAGGTCAATCAAGAACAGGACCTTAAATAGTGTCCCCTGGTCAAGGTCTGATCAGCAGACATTCCACAAATGGCTCTTCAGCTCCTGTTGGGTAGAGGGCCCTGGGTGGGATCATTTGTCTTGTCCTTCCATCCATCCATCCATCTGTTTATCTTCCCAAAACTGCCTGCTGAGGCCTAGCCAGAGACAAGCCCTATCCTTGGCACAAGGCCACATGCTAAGATGAATCAGATTGGGCCGGCTGGAGCTGGTGGGTGGAAGACAGAGGACATACCAGGAGGAGGGCACAGCAAAGCAAGGTCCAGGGCTGGTGGGTGGGGAAATGTTTGAGCAAACCAGACACTGAGATTGAGTGCAGGGTAGAAGGCAGGTGTGCTGAGGGGCATGGGGAGGCAAGGAGAGGAGACAAACAGCAGGCTGTGGAAGGACAGGCAAAGGGTCCCTGAAGGAAGAAGGAAGCAGCAGAGAGAATGAAAAGGAGGGTGGGAGGCAGTGCCTCAGACTTGATTAGTGGGGGAAGCTGGTTAAGGTGAGTCTGTCTGACCCCATGCCCATTGCTGATGCCATTCTGCCCCACTCCTAATTTAGTGCTCTGGTTTCACCTGGGTGTGAATTGACCATCCTGTAACCCCATCTACCCCAGAGCTCCTGGACCCTCACTGGCCCCCAGTACCAAGGGAGAAGTGGTAAAGCCCACCACATCCAAAGTGAGACAGACTGGGAATAAATCCCTCATTCCCTGATCAGACGACCTTGGGCAAATTACTTAACCTCTCTTGACCTCAGTCTCCTGCTCTGTCATATAGAGTCACTGTAAGCCCTCCACCATTATAGCGTTACTGGAAGGGTTTTATCACAGGAAGGACCCAAAGCTTGGCTTAGCAACTGCCAGGGCATCTGACCAACAGGGAAAGTTCCAGATCTGGACCCTTGGTGGTCAGCGCAGTTTGCATTTCGAAGAGGGACTTTTCACCCCCAGAAGACTCAAAGCCCAGAGTCCAGTTCTTCATTGGTGGCATTTACAGCTCAGGGTTGGGGATGCAAAGTAGAGAAGTCCCTCTGCGTGGGTGGTTTCTCCTGTCCCAGAGTCCATACACGTGCTGGGGGAAAAGAAGGAGACTTGTCAGGTCTGGGAGTGAAGATAGGAGGATAGGTTTACCCCCATCCCCCCAACCCCCTACGCACCTCCCATCTCGATTGGGGACTTAAAGGCCTGCGGGCGGGCGGGGGCAGAGCAGGGCCGGCCTCTTTCGCCCTGCTGGGGGGTGGGGGGCGGGTCCCCGGGGAACTGCTCCTCCCGCCCGCCGCCGTTTTAAGAGGCTGCTCCGCGGCAGCGATCAGGGCTGGAGCCGCAGCCCGACCAAGCAAGCGGACCAAGCCGAGCCGGCAGGTGCACGGCTGCGGGGACAGCAGCGGCATGACCGGCCACCACGGCTGGGGCTACGGCCAGGACGACGGTAGGCGCAGACCCCTGCCAGCCCTGACCCAGCTGGACTCGCCCCAGACCAGCGCGCCCAGCTGGGTTTCCCAAGCGCGCAACTCCCATGCTCCTAGATCGACCTGGACCCCTCTCCTGTCCATCCCCCAGAACCTGGCCCCCTTACCGGGCCCCAGCCCTGGTTCCCCTGCAAGCAGTGCAAAGTCCGCGCTGAGCCGGGAGGTTCCCCGCCACCAGCCAGGGATCCAGTGGTGGCACGCGTCCTGCCGCCACCTCCGCGCCGCCCCTGACTGCCGCGCGCTCCTGGGACTCGGCTGGGCACTCATTGACTCGCCCCAGGCGTGCGCCGCGCGGAGATGGCCCAGGGCAGCGGCGGGGGGCGGTCGCGGCGGAGCGCTGTGCGCGGGTGTCTTTACGGGGTGCGCGCACGGCGTGTGTGCGGGGACCTCCGGGAAACTGGGCTCCGCGAAGGCAAGGGCGCCGTGTCCCCGGGGAAAGAGTTTCCCGGTGGAAGCGTCCAAGCTGCTGTGGCCACTGGTAAGTGATGGAAAGGGGCATTTAGGGTGCTCATGCATGTGTCGAGTGTCCACACTGAGCAGGGTGTCTGAGCACGTCCGGTGTGAGGTGGGAGTTGGCCGACACCAGCCTCCTGGTCTAACGGGAAAATAGATGTACCCTGCCACAGTTGCTATAGGATGCAGAAAAGGAGAAAGACGCAGAAGATGAGCCAGACGGCTTTTGTGTGGGTCTGGGACACGACAATTCCCTTTTAGGCTACTTCTTAGCAAGCAGGGAGGGAGGTGTGGAGTAAGGGCTTCCTCATTTCCCTAAGATGAGCGATGTACCCCCAAGATCCAGGCTGTCGGTAGGGGAACCCAAGTAGGGCAGATGGAGGTTGGAAGGGGCACCCAACTCTCCAGCTCCATTATGAGGGTGGGTAGGGGTCCCTGGCCACAGTCTTTGGGGACATGAAGTTACAGTGGATCAGAGGGAATCAGGGAGGTGCTTCAGAGTCTCTGGTCCCCTCAAACCCCCAAGGACAAAGGAGCATATTTTGGAAGTGGAACCCTAGATCTGGACATGCAGGAATTGGACAGAGACATTAACAAACAAACAAACAAACAAAAAGCAACTGAGACTAGCAAAGATGGAGGAAAAGGCAGAAAAGGGGCAGATTGACAGCACACATTGGAGACCGTCTTCCTCCAGTAGTTAGCTCTTGGGTGCTTCTACCAGAGTCTGAGTCCTCTGACATCAGCCTTTCCTGTTAATCCTGCCCACCAGCTCTGAGCATCCAGGGTCCTGAATGGCCTGTCCCATGGCCCTGCTACCCACAGGCAGCTGCCCTTCACCCAACTAGACATGGGTTGTTCTGTCTAGGGGCAATGAAGAAGCAAAGGACAGAGGACAGTGGTGCCTGCATGCGGCAGCACTCTCAAGGGCTTCAAAAATAACCCAGTGGGGCCGGGCCACGATTTGGAGTTCTGAGTCATCCATTGGGGACACAGCTCTGTCGGCACCTGCTGCTGTTTTCTCAGGAAAACTTAAGAAGCCAAAAAGGGGGAGAAGCACCAGCCGGCAGTGGCTCTAAAAATAGGCTGCATCTCAGGATGTTCCCCAGGGAGATGCTGAGCCTCTCGGCTGCAGATGGAGCCTCTGGGAGGCAGGTGGTGGGCGCCTGTGGGTGTGCATGCAGGTGTGTGTATGAGTGCATGTGTGTGCATGGGCATGTGTTTTGCTGTGGTCCTCTTGTGTGAACTTGGCTTTCCAACAGGAGGTGTTTGTGTGTGAGGGTGCATAGATGTGTGTCAAATGTAGTCAGTAGGGCTGTGTGTGTGTTTGAGCACATGCGTTGTTCTGAGCTTGTCCTAGTGACCCAGGTACACATGTGTGCACACATATGAAGATCTCAGTGGACCTCTGGGCCTGTGCCTGGAGAGGGAAACCAGAGATGGTACAGGTACATACTTTGTGTTTATACTGTGTGTGTGTGTGTGTGTGTGTGTGTGTGTGTGTGAACATGCATGCATGGCCCTTGTTCCTCTCGTCTGTGACATGGGCATCATGCTAGTTTCTACTTCACAAGATGGTTGTGAGGAGCAAATACATGTCACAGAGCCAAAGTTAGGTTGATGTGAGTTTTTGTTATCAGTATCACAAACATCAAGTTTGCACTAAGTTACTCAGGATGCAGGAAGAGGTTAAATACTTGTTAAGATCAGAGACTTCAGATGCTTGGGGCCTCCTTGAGTGTGTGTTGGGGACTGGAGGTTATGAGATGCACTACCTGGAACCACCTCTGAGTCTGTAGCTGCACAATGTTCCCTTTCATTCATTTCCTCTCTGGGCCTCCTAGCATGCTGGGAGGGGAGTTTTAGTGAAGCCATTTCCCAGACAAGGAAATGAAGGCTGAAGGGGAATTGGCAGAGTGGGAAAGCAGAGGCTCACTGAATGGATGCCTGGGAATCGACCCCCAGGACTTACTTCAGCTTGCAGCTCAGAGATCCTGGCTATCCTGAGTCCTTGCCACATCCCTGCCTGCAGGCCCCTTGAATTGGCACAAGCTGTATCCCATTGCCCAGGGAGACCGACAGTCACCCATCAACATCATATCCAGCCAGGCTGTGTACTCACCCAGCCTGCAGCCACTGGAGCTTTCCTATGAGGTCTGCACATCCCTCAGCATCACCAACAATGGCCATTCTGTCCAGGTAGACTTCAATGACAGCGATGATCGAACAGGTAAGTGGCCCCTGCCAAAACTTGGAACCTGTCCCTGCTAGGACTTAACCCTATTGGGCTAGCTCATTTGTTCCTCTCAAGAGTCCACTTTTCAGATGGGCGAACAGAAGCTCAATGAGCTGGGGAGCGCCAGAACAAGCTGGTTCTGCTCCCCAAAGTCTTTCTCTCCAACTCACTAAAGGTCTCAACTCCCTTGGGCCACAGATAGGCCCATAGGAACTCACAGAAGCTCCTTCTTAGATCTCTTTGCCCTGGGATTAGAGTCCAGGTCCTTTCGTGATAAATTCCTAGGCAGAGGCTTTAGGAGTACTCTTCAGTGAAGAGATTTTGTCCTTATGACTAGGTTTGTGGGATAGGAAGTTGGGTGAGGAGAATTTCTTAGAATTTCTTAGGAAGTGTCCAGTTCTTTGAACCCTCACCCCCCACTTCTTACCCTTCCACACACATATTGAAATAGAAAAACAAAAGAGTCACGCTGGGAGGCTGAGACAGAAGGATCACAAGTTCAAGACCAGCCTGGACAACTTAGAGAGACCCTGTCTCAAAATAAAAAATGAAATAAGAAAAGGACTGGGGATGTCGCTCAGTGGTAGAGTGCCTGTGGTTTCAATCCCCACAAAAGAAAAAGAAAAGAAATTCAAAAGGCACAAAAAAAGAGGAAAGCCAGAATTTTCATGAGGCGATTGATCTAAATTGCTTAATCCTGAGTTCCTGGTAGGCTAGGGAAAAGGGAAAGAGAGTGGGTATAGTTCTTGTTGCGTAAGGGAGGAAGTCAAGCAATCCTCAGGAGAGAGAGAGGAAAAGCATTTCCTTGCACTGAGCTCCAAGAAAGGAAAAAACTCTTGAAAAACTTTAGGAAGAGGACACGCGGGGCTAGATGACAGAATACCCAGACCTGAAGAGGCAGTGAGCCACTCACCTAGCACAGTTCACTCACCTAGCACACTCACCTAGCACAGTTCACTCTGGAGGTCGAATGGGTTGGTGCCAACAGAATACTGAGGAGGGAGGAAGGAGGGTGGGCAGGGAGAGAGGTTAGAGAATGAGGGTTAGAGATACTTAGGGGTCCCAGGTGAAGCAAACTCAAAGAGGTGGACGCTTACAGACCTATCTGGAAGCTCGGCCTGCAAGCCCTGTTCCTTCCACTTCTGGGAATATAGGGTGGCCTTCCTGCCTCCCATCCCCAGACTCCCTTTCTCAACTTTCATCTTTGCGCTGGACAGGCCGTGTTTCTCAAGTAAGGCAGGTTGGGCAGCAAGAAGGGGCCTCTGGATTGTCCTGTACTCCTTGAGGGGCCCCCAGGTGGACAAGGACCTGCCCTGATCACTCAACGTGGAAGGGCCTTAGGGGAACTCTGAGCCTGGGGCCGTCACCTGATCTAGGGGCTCACATTCAGGCCTGGCTGGGGCCCCCTCCGCTGCCAGATCCCTTTCAGCTAGAAATTCTATCAGTCCCGAGGAGGCCTTGTGCATGGCCCCAGCTCACCGACCATCAAGGTGAGAAAGTCACAAGCTCAGAACAAGTGGGACCCTCCAGAGAGGTCATTTGTGCTGCAGATGGCACTGAGGGCACTAGAGCCTGTAAAATAGGAGGGTAAGGACTCTCGGGAGCTGGCTTCCTGCTCTGGGGCAATACCAAGTTCTGGGGGGCTCAAGGTGGCAGGGAGGCAGTATGGCCTGGTGATCAGGGGATTGGGTCAGAATTCAAGAAATACGGGTTTATACCATACCTCAGTGCCTTGCTATGTAACCATGGGCAAATGCCTTGCCCTCTCTTGTGCCTCAGTTTCCTCCTTTGTAAAATAGGAATAATAATATGTTCTGGCCCTTGTGGGCTACCATGAGGACTAAACAAACGAATCCTTCCAAGCCAGCCTAGGTCAGGAGCCAGACCGGGGAGGTCTACTGTTAGTGCCAAGGCGGGCCTGGAGGCAGGGGCCCAGCTTCCACAGGAAATCAGAAGGAGTGAAGAGAATGGCCCCAAGGAGGGGGCAGTACTCGGTCAGTCCCAAACTGCAGGCTGTCAGGATTTCTGCCCTGACCCAGATTACAGGCTGTGATGGTCGGTGGAGACTCACCCCAGCCTGGCCAGTCCAGTGGACTCTCCACATGAAACACATATCCCCTTCCTGGGCTGCTGCTCTGGACCTGGCACCGCCACCATGAGGCAGTGTGGGTCCCACCATGCCCACTGCCACAAACCCCACTTCTACCCACAGTGGTGACTGGGGGCCCCCTGGAAGGGCCCTACCGCCTCAGGCAGTTCCACTTCCACTGGGGAAAGAAGCATGATGCGGGCTCAGAGCACACTGTGGACGGCAAGTCGTTCCCCAGCGAGGTGAGGGCCCTCTGTATCCCGCTGCTGCCTGGGGAAGGGATAGGGACGCCATAGTCAGCGGCTTGAGCATTTCTGGGTAGAGCTCTGGAGAGGGTGAGGGGAACACCAGGGGACTTTAAGGTGAGATGCCTTCTACCGGCCCCCAGCACAGTGTCTCCCTCTGAGCTCTGCCCACTGCTGTCCTGGTCTGCGCATTGGTTTTCTGAAGGTCCTGCCCAGTCCCACCACACCCTGCTGAAAATCCTTCAGAAGCTGAACCTGGCATTCATGGCCCTGCACGGACTCACCAGGCTTGGCTTCATCTTCCCCTGCCCTCTTCCCCCATTGGGCTGCATGTGATGAATGCATACACCTGTCCACACCTGGTTCCCTATTGCTCCTCATACTCCTGGTCCCTTTGCCTGGAATGCCTTTCCCCAAGGCTCTCATCTGATAACCCTCTACTTCTTTGAACTCGCTGCAGGGGCCACCTCCAAATGTCACTAGGGATGGCCATCATTCATTTCGTAGCTAGTTCACTGGAAGGCAGAACCCGAGTCAGATTCCTTTTGGGTCTCCTGGGGCTTGGGGAAGGGTTGGGCCCAAACATGGGTAGATGCTTACTGGGAACTTCTGGGGCTCTCCTGCACTTCAGGACCCCAAGCCTAGAAAGTTTGATAGTCTTCCCCGCAGAGGGGCAGAAGTCAGGAAGGAGTGAAGGAAGCCTGGCTCAGAGTTCCATTGTCCCCAAGGTGCTAAGCCCTGGCCTGGCCTGGCCTGTTCTTGCTCCTCCAGCTACATCTAGTTCACTGGAATGCCAAGAAGTATAGTACCTTTGGGGAGGCAGCCTCAGCACCCGATGGCCTGGCTGTGGTCAGTGTCTTCCTGGAGGTGAGTGGTGGGTCCCTGGGACCAGGAAGAGTAAGGGAGGCCTGGCATGCCTCTATCTCTGGAATGCAGGGGTGTTGGGCTCACACCACTTTCTCCCTAACAGACGGGGGATGAGCACCCTAGCATGAATCGTCTGACGGATGCCCTCTACATGGTTCGGTTTAAGGTGAGACCAGGGCTCCCTGTCCCTGATCCTGAGCAGCTTAGTAAGAAGAGAAGAAGCAGCTGGCTCATGAGTGGGCCCATTCAGCCCTCTATTCTGGCAAACTCTGGCTGAGACCAAGGGCAAAGGACGGTACCTTCCGGGCCCTCTCCTGATTCCTCTTCGCTAGAGTCCACTCACTGCTCCATTGGTGCCTGCCAGGCAACCCAGGAGTGAGTAGGATTTGTGAGATGCTGGTCACAATAAATGGTAGTCTGACAAACAGTGCCACCGAGGAAAGCTGAAGGCAAGGGAGTAAACACGGTGACCAGGAGCCCAGGAACCACAACCTTTACATACAAGCAAACGGGTGCTGAGGGCCCAGCCCTGCCGGGGAGGTGGCCTCTGAGGTCATAGACATTTGCCCATAATTTGCATCAGTGAGCCAAGAAGAAGCCTGAATCCTGATGATAGAAGTGGGTGGGGAAGCTGCTGGGTTGATCTTGGTGGGAGGTCTGTGCTGACTTCCAGGTCTATCCCCCATACCCTGCTCCCCAGGGCACCAAGGCCCAGTTTAGCTGCTTCAACCCCAAGTGCCTCCTGCCTACCAGCCGGCACTACTGGACCTACCCAGGCTCCCTGACCACACCCCCCCTCAGTGAGAGTGTCATCTGGATTGTACTCCGAGAGCCCATCAGCATCTCTGAGAGGCAGGTGAGTCCTCCCAGAGCCCCAGGTTAAGGGGGCACTCAGGGCCCAGCCAAAGCAGGGTGCCCCCCACCATATTGCTAGTAAAGTTTGGATTCTTGGTTGGGGGTTAGCTTGATTGTTAGTCTTTAGGACCTAGACATGTACTGGGGGAGAGGGAGACACCTGGATCCTGGGACCACCTCTACTGTGTTGGAATTGAACTGCTGCATTTGTTGGTACACCTTAGCTGGACAGGATTGGGACTTGAACTAAGTGGAGTTCAAAGGCCCTTTAGGAGTAAGTATCTGGGGCTGGGTCTCAAAGAGGAGAGTGAGTGGGGATGAGACGGACCAGTTGAAGAGGATATGCCAGCTGCTGGGTCTGGGACCATCCCCATTTTAACCCTTCTGCCTCTTTAAGATGGAGAAGTTCCGAAGCCTACTTTTCACCTCAGAGGATGATGAGAGGATCCACATGGTGAACAACTTCCGGCCACCACAACCACTGAAGGGCCGCGTGGTCAAAGCCTCCTTCCGGGCCTGAGCTGCCCACCTGCCCAGCTGACCACAAGGGCACCATCTTCCCAAGGGCTTCCATGTCAGCAGACACCAAACCATCTGAGGCTCCCTGCCTGGGGGTGCTGTGGACCCCCCTTTCAGCCGGCTTGCTCCTTGACCACTCTGGAGGGTTTTTGATGGGACCCTGGAGTTGAGGGCACCCTGCAGCTGCCCTGGGGACTAGAAGAACAGGCGCTGAGCAGGGTCCAAACCTGGGGCTGCCTCTGCTCTCCAAGACCCAAAGGCCCCTGGGAACCTCCTCTTGTCTTCCCCACTGGCAGTGGCAGCAGCCCCACTCTGAGCTCACACTGTGATGGACAAGACCGAGCTCCCTGGGGCAGGCAGCTGGCACTGCCAGAAAGACTCAAGCAATAATTAGAGGTGGGCAGAGCTGCCCTCTCGGCATTACCTCGACTGCAGGCCTCCACCAGGAGCACACCTCACTGCCAGGCCATTTAATCAGCACCCAGCCTGCTGGAGGTGATATGGCCTTCTCCCTCCAGCCATCTGCTGCCACAGGCAGGCCCTGGCTATAGCTTATACACTATCTATCTCCCTTTGTCCCCACCCAATCATCAAAGCCCCCTACATGCTAACCCATGGATGTATTAATTAATAAACTCATTTATCCATGCAGGAACACAACTGAGTGCCTATGCTATGTCAAGTACTGTTCTAGACTTTAGGGAGTCGGTGGTGGTTAGTGGGGCACATTTGGGAGGGACTTGTAATGGGCAGAGGGAGATTATAACAAGGGCAGGACAGAGGTGATGGGAACAGAAGAAAAGGATAGCCTACCTTGTTTTGTGAGAAGATGAAATTCCAGCCAGTACTCCAAGACAGAGGGAAGAGAATGCCATACTGAGGTAGAGGGAAGAGGTGAGAACCAAGAATGGTTGGGGGACTGAAAAGGGTCAGTGGGACTAGAGCCCCGGGGAAGGGCCTGGGCCTTTCTTTCTCCCTAAGCTAGTGGGGAGCCACGGGGTTGGCAGTAGAGGAGGGACAGGGCCACGTGTGCATATGGGGAAGATCCCTGTGGAACATGGCAGCAGGGAGGAAGTGGGCCCCGGTGGGTGGTCAGGAGTAAAAGGACAGGGTAGCCAAGGAGGGGAAGAGGGAACTAGGTGAGATTTAAAGGTGCATCTCAAAGGCAGCATTTGGCTGTGTGTGAGGGAGAATTGTCCAGAGGAAGTGGGAGGACCCCCCTCACGGACTGGGGACCCTGGAGGAGCTGATCAGTTGGACACATAGTATTGATGGGGCCCTGGAAAAAAACCATTGAGGCACAAACTATAGGCCCCAACCCTTCATTTGCACAAATCTTTAGTGAGTGCTGTCTTAAATTTCCACCCTAAGTACCTTGCTGGCCTCCACCTAGCCCCATCCTAAGTCCAGAGAGCTCAGGGAGGCAAGCTCACAACTGGCTTTAGAGACCCAGTGAGCACTTGACCCAGATGGGGGGGGGCAGGAGGCAGACAGTGAGGGGGGCTGAGACGGGGAATGAGAAGCCAGGAGAGCACATGTGCAAGTTTAGTTGTGAAGGGAAAGAAAGGGACAGCTGAGTAGCTGTGAGGAGACGGGCAGGGGCACGACCAAACCCCTTGGGAAGAAGTGCTAACTTCATGACTGAGAGGGGCTGGTTGGTGAGGCATGCTGACTGCCTATAGCTTTTGTCATTGTCACTAAACCAGAAGTCCACTCCCAGGCCACAGGGTACTTCTGGATCTTCAAGTTTTGAATTCAGGGAGGCAGGGAAGGGCAAGTCTTGCTCTGTTGGTCCCCCCTCCCATTCCCATGCTCAGGACAAACCTGTCCCCAGAGTACATGAAGGTGGGGGGGACAGGAGAGACAGGATATCTCAGCAAAATCTGCCCCAGTGCAGGACCAGACAACTTTGCCTCCGCACGCCCACTGGCTTGACTTAGGGGCTATCTTCTCCTCCCGGTTTCAGGAGGGGTGAGAAGGTGGGGGAGCTGTCTGGAGGATAGTGTTTGCTCAGCTTGGGGGCAGATGGCTTTGGTAGCAGGGAAGTGTACTAGCAATGTGAACTGTTAGGGCCCTGTGAAGGGCCTGCGTAAGATATCCAGCTCTCTCCCTAAGACCCAGGAACTGTCATTAATCCCATTTTACAGATAGGATAATTAGGTTCAGGGAGGTTAAGTAGGTAAGTGGCAGAGCTAGAGTTGAACGGGATCTGTCTGGGAACTTTCTTGCTATATGCCAGAGCAGCTGGGCCCAAGGAAAGGAAGGATAGCATAATGTGGCCGCTCAGAGGTGGCATAATAGCTTCAATGCTGCTGGATGTACCAGGGACATTGTCCAGCCCCTCCCAGGGATGGTAGCACCACAGGTCTGGCACTGAGGAGCACTTGGAAAATAGGAGCTGGTTTTATAATAATTATCCCAAGTCTGCCAAGAATTTTCACTCCCCCAAATCCTTTCCCTTAATACATTTTTAAAATTTAAAACTATTTTAAAACCCAAAGTAGCCTCCTTATGTTATAATCACAACCTAGGGTTTGACTCTATTATATCCAAATGGAATGTCCCAGCTGGATCTCAAATGCCTCCAGCAAACCTGGCCTCAAGGGACCCAAGCCTGTGTTCTGAATCCTCATTCAGGACAAGGTCTTCTGGAAGTGATGCTGGATACATCTGAGGCATCCAAGGCAAGATGGGCTCTTCTTGCTCCCAAGACCCCAAAGAGGCCACAGCCTGGACAACCAAGAGGGCTTTTAGAGAGACCCAGGCTAGCAACCACAGCATGCTAAGGCTTCCCAGGTTAGGGGCACAGGCTCTCCTCCAAAGCACCTCTTGGGGGAACCAGGCTCTCCTTTCTAAGGGGTGGGGCTCAGGAGATGGGTGACTATGAAGACCCAATCCCCCTGGAGCTCCTGCAGAGGATTTGCTCCCAATCTCATGATTACCCTGATAGCTGCTGCTGCTGCTGCTGCTGCTGCAGAGGCCCAGAATTCTCTGCAGCCCGAGGGCTGGCTGTGGACATTCACCTCTAGGATGCTATTTGGGGAGGAAACCCTAAGGTAACTTGACAAAATTACCTGGGAGGCAGGTCACAGATGATGTCCAAGCTGATAGGGGTTAGAGTTGGACAGAGGCCTCTTGGCTGCAGCTGGAGCAGCCAGGAGGTGGGAGTGAGGACAGATGAGAATATCTGTCCCGTCTGGGAATCTTGGGGTGCCTCCCACAAACATGGATCCCTGCACCAACTGAGGCCACCTTAAAAGGCAGAATGTACGACTGGTTGGTCAAGATTCAGGGAGAAGGAGAAGAATGTGACTCTGAGCATGAAACATTCTGGCATTTGTCCCACAGCCAGAGGCAGGGCCTGGGGAAGGCATTTCTTTTGGAGCCTTACCTGTCACCAACTCTAGGGCAGACATTGCAGCTCATGTCACTCAAGACTCAAAAGCTTGTTTCTTCCTCTGTAAAAAGAAAATGGCATAGTATAAGTCAAGTCCAGAGTTTAAAAATTTCTAATGACTGTATCAAAAATGTAAAAGGAGGGGCTGGGGTTGTAGCACAGTGGTGGAGCATTTGCCTTGCATGTGTGAGGCCCTGGGTTCCATTGTTAGCACCACATAAAAATAAATAAACAAAATAAAAGATATTGTGTATGTCTACAACTAAAATATTTTTAAAAAACTGAGGTTAGCCGGTACAGCATCACACCTCAGGAGAACGAGTTAGAGGATGAGTTGAAAGTCAGCCTCAGTAATGGCAAGGCACTAAGAAACTCAGTGAGACTCTGTCTCTAAATAAAATACAAAATAGGACTGGGGATGTGACTTAGTGGTCGAGTGCCCCTGAGTTCAATCCCTGGTACCAAAAAAAAAAAAAATGAGGGATTGAACTCAGAGCCTCAGGCAATCAGTAAATCAAATAATACATTTTATTTAAACCAATTACATCTAAAATATATCCATTTTGATGTCACCAATATAAAAATAGCATTAAAAAGTTAACACGTTCTTTTTTTGGTACTGAGTCTTTGAAATCCAGGAGTGTTTTACACTTACAGTACATCTCCATGCAGACCAGCTACATTACAATGCTCAGGATCCCTAAGTGGCCAGTGGGAATTGTATCGGACAGTGCAGCCCTAAACAGATGTCACTCTTTTGCAGGGCCATGTGCTGACAAGGTGTCTGAGAAGGCTCTCTGGTTGGGCCTGCAGCCAGGCAAAGTGGTGGCAGGAAGGAGTCAGATCTGCTCTGAGCCTCTGTCCCCTCCAAAAGAGCTGTCTCCGACACTCATGCCAAGTTGGCTTCCTCCACCAGGCCTTCTTCCTCCAGGAAATGTCCCTAAATCTGTTTCACTCCAGCCTGACTGCCCTGCCCTGGTCAACCTGCAGTTAGAAAGGCCAAGGCTCTCAGCAAGGAATCGACCACAGGAGGCTGTCAAGAGTCAGGGGAGGTAGTAGGGCCCTGGCTGGGTTAAGGGGACTTGATTAGTTTGGGAGGGTTTTCTAGAGGAAGAGCCCTGAGCAAAGTAGCTGACATCCCAGGAGAGGTACAAGAGCCTCAGCCAAAGGAAACCAGAGAGACAGAAGGAAAGACCGGCAGGCTCTTGCTCAGCATGTATTGACTAAATGGGAATATGTGGCTGGAGACACAGGGAATCCTAGTTCTAGAGACTTCCAATGCCAGGCAGAGGTCTACCCTTGCATCCAAGGATCATAGGGGTTCTAAGAGGTCTAAAGCAGGTGCTGAGGGCTCGTAGGTTGAAGGAATGGAACTTCTCCTGAGGCTCAGGGAATGCCAGGCATCACTTGGCCCACATCTATCTTCTAACACAGGGCTCATGTACAAATTCTAGCAGATGCCATCCACCAGCTCTTCTTGCTGCCTCTTCTTGGCCCAATAATATGGACTCATGCCTGGGCCCTTGCAGTTTCCAGTTTGGCAGATTGTGAATCTAGCTTAAATCCCTCCAGAAGCTGGCATGGTGGTGCACACCTTGTAATCCCAGAGGATGAGGCAGGAGAATTGTAAATTCAAGGCCAAGCTCCACAACTTAAGCAAGACCCTGTCTCAAAATAAAAAATGAAAGGTGCTGGGGCTATAGCTAAGTGGTAAAGCATCCCTGGGATCAATCTCCAGTACTCCAAAATAAATAAACTAATAAATAAATCGCACCAGTAGCTAGATAAGTGATGCATTACTGTAATACAAGCAACTGGAGAGACTGAGGTAGGATTGCAAGTTTTCAGGAGATGGGCGACTATGTAGATCCAATCCCCCTGGAGCTTCTGCAGAGGATTTGCTCCCAATCTCATGATTACCATGATAGCTGCTGCTGCTGCTGCAGAGGCCCAGAATTTTCTGTAGCCCGAGGGCTGGCTGTGGACATTCACCTCTAGGATGCTATCTGGGGAGGCCAGCATTGGCAGTTTTGTGAAATCTTATCTCAAAAACAGCTGGGGAGGGAGCTCAGTGGTAGAATGCCCCTGGGTTCAATCCCCAGTATCACAAAAACAAACAAACAAACAAATCCCTCTAGTGGCACCCTAAGTATTTTTTTTTCTTCAGGCCATAGGAAATTGAGATTATTCCCACTGAGCTGCCCTCTGGGGACAGGCTCATGAGAAAGGCTCATGTGCCCCCAGGGTCATCTGGGCTCCCAGG